CAACACAGAAATCATCGATAGATACAGCGATAGCAGGCGGCTTGACATTGAGGCAATTCACATAAGAATAGAGCGACCTACCATGAACACCCAAATCACGGAACTATTTACTCTACCCACCATGAGAGTAAGGACAAGACAAGAACATAACGATGTCAACACAGAAGACAATGTCCAACATAATAGGCCAATTACACTGGATTAATCTTTGTGTTTAGATAGGAGCTGCCTCGTATGGGCCAATAAGCCTTGTGCAGCCTCTATGTTTCACCTCACATTTATCCCTTATGTATCCCCCCATGTTTTCACCTCAATTGTATTATCACCTGACCCAGTGCGGGTATTAAATCAACTAGTATTGTAAGATCTGTTCACTTGAGAATGAACCATGGAGGTTCGAAACGTTGTGCAAATTATATAAATAAGTGTAATACACTCTATAGTAAATCACTTCTTTTCTTCACCTTAAAAGTACGAAAATGAGTTTTGGAGAACTCCTATTTCAATTAAGCCCTGATGCTAAGAAAATAGTTAGAGGGATAGAAGCCCTAAACCAGAAAATAATAAATACAGAATATGCGGTCATATTCAATGAAACATGTTTGAAAGAAAACCTACTGCCAGTATACACCAATATATATATAGATATATATATTGGAATATATAGAATTTATTAATCTTACTTTTTCGGCCATATTTAATATATATATATATATATATATATATATATATATATATATATATATATATATATATATATATATATATATATATATATATATATATATATATATATATATATGTCGTACTAGTAGCCAGAACGCACTTCTCAGCCTACTATGCAAGGTCCGATTTGCCTAATAAGCCAAGTTTTCTTGAAATAATTGTTTTTCAACTACCTAACCTACCTAACCTAACCTAACCTAACCTAACTTTTTTGGCTACCTAACAAAACCTAACCTATAAAGATAGGTTAGGTTAGGTTAGGTAGGGTTGGTTAGGTTCGGTCATATATCTACATTAATTTTAATTCCAATAAAAAAAATTGACCTCCTACATAATGAAATGGGTAGCTTTATCATTTCATAAGAAAAAAATTAGAGAAAATATATAAATTCAGTAAAACTTTGCTTATTAGGCAAATCGGGCCTTGCATACTAGGCCGAGAAGTGCGTTCTGGCTACTAGGTACGACATATATATATATATATATTCGTATATTATAATACATCTTAATACATCATACAGGTTAAATACATCTTCAGACCTTCTGAAGATGTATTTAATATACGAAAGTACTTAAGGAAATTCCTGTTTCATTTTTCCTCCGTGGTCTGACATTGTCACATTCTTAATCACGTATTTATTTTCGTGATATACACACACACACACATATATATATATATATTATATATATATATATATATATATATATATATATATATATATATAATACATATATATATATATATATATATATATATATATATATATATATATATATATATATGCGAACAAGCCTGAATGGTCCCCAGGACAATATGCAACTGAAAACTCACACCCCAGAAGTGACTCGAACCCATACTCCTAGGAGCCACGCAACTGGTATATACAAGACGCCTTAATCCACTTGACCATCACGACCGGACATAGTGAGGTGATAGCCGAGGCTATTTGAACCACCCCACCGCCGCCACTCGGATAGTAATCTTGGGCATAGCATTTACCAAATCACCTCATTCTTTGGGGCACACGTGAGGAACACAAATGCGAACAAGCCTGAATGGTCCCCAGGACAATATGCAACTGAAAACTCACACCCCAGAAGTGACTCGAACCCATACTCCCAGGAGCCACGCAACTGGTATGTACAAGACGCCTTAATCCACTTGACCATCACGACCGGACATAATGAGGCGATAGCCGAGGCTATTTAAACCACCCCACCGCCGGCACTCGGATAGTAATCTTGGGCATATATATATATATATATATATATATATATATATATATATATATATATATATATATATATATATATATATATATATATATGCCACTACATTCGTCCTGAATTGTGTAAAACATCTTTAGAGAAAAATTATTCACATTATACTGCTTAAGGAAACTATTTGCCATCAAAGATGTTACAGATTTGAAAGGAACATCTTATCTGTTTCTTAAGGTATTGACCGTAATACCGAAGACAATATCAATTAAGCTGTTCCATATGCCACTTAAATGTCAAATTGTTACTGCTAGGTAACAGGGGGCATGAGGGTGAAAGAAACTCTGGTCCATTGTTTCTCGCCCGGGATCGAACCCGGGACCACAGGATCTCACGTCCAGTGCTCAGCGTGCCTATGGCCAGTGGAGGAGTTGTTGTGGCAAATTGTCAGTGTGATTGATTGTGATTGATGAGGGGCGGATACGTCTGTTAATACGTACAAAATACGTCTGTTAATACGTACAAAATACGTCTGTTTAAAATTACCTATGCTTCACCTTCCCGCTGAAACGCCTCTTCTAACTTCGTCTCTGAGGTAATGGGCGGCATTTTCCTGGGCACTGGTGAGTTATCAACGTCCTTCCTCTTCCCATTAGCCATTATTAATGGTATTTGCGTGGATAAAGTGGCAAGACAGCACAACGTGTAGCGCCCCTCACCACGTGGGAAGGGCGACTGAGGCGGCCTCCGCCACATCAGTCACATCGTACACACGACACTTCCCAAAACATAATATTAAAAAACCTTCCTAATCTTACCCAAATAAACTCTAACTCAGCCGATTCTACCGTATTATAATCTAACCTAATACATCCTAACTTAATGATATATATATATACGGTGCTAACAATCGGAAATTAGGTTGTTGATGTCTTGTGTACGATTTGAGAGTACAGTATCGTACCCAATGCCGCACGCCATTTCGAAGGTGTTGCCATATTATACTTGAGACGCCTCGGCGAGATTATAGTGGTTTTCTTAGTTGGTTTAGTGCGTAGCGAGTTTGTAGTGTAGTAGGATGCTGGGGACAGGGTAGGGGAGGCTTGTAAAAATGTTCGAAACACGAATGTTCGTTTAGCGGGGGATATTCTGATATTTACAAAGGATCACAAAGATAAAAAAAAATGCCTAAAGCCTCTTGGCAGATACCTCCTCTCTTATAAATATCCATCCAAACTGATTCACGTATATCTAAAATACAGGTGAAATAATTCAGCGATTATGCTCCTATTATGTCCCCCTGTAATTTGTTCCGTAAGCCAAGAAGCCTAATTTCCAAACCAGTATTTACCCAGGATTTTGCTGAATCTAAACTCATCCAATTTATATCCATTAATTCGTGTTTGATTTTGTACTGACGTATCTCATAAGGCTGGACAGTCAGTCCTCTCGTCGAACGCATTTAAAAAGAAAATCGAAAAATTAATCTTGACATATGTGACAGATTACCACATACAGAGTTATTAGTGATATCCTCTTGATACCTAACTCACAAAAGGCAACACATTAAACGCTCCTTGACCAAGTGATAAGTTCAAATACGTAACTCAGTGTAGTCATGAAAGTACAACAAATGAGTAAGAACTTCCAGTTTCCTCCAAAACTCACAAAAGTTAGTTCCAGCATATCGCTGTGGCAGCTGAAACATCGTCCAACTTCAAAATTGGATCATGTAAAGGAACAAAGTTTTTGATAGCTTTGTAAACTTAGTTCGAAACAAAAAACAAAGTTTTTAAATGGTTAATTAGTTACACAAATAACGATGACGCTCAACGATGAGTCTATTTCATTAATCAATGGGCAAATAGTCTAGGTTAACGAACTAGGGCAAGTTAATTATCGAACCTGTGATAAACTGCCTTGTTAGTTAACATTGATCTGGCAGGTAGGCACATGCGCTTTGTTAAAAATGACCCATATGACCCATGTAAGTCAGCTCCTATTGACCCATACGAGGCAGCTCCTACTGACCCATGTGAGGCAGCTCTTACTGACCCATACGAGGCAGCTCCTACTGAGCCATACGAGGCAGCTCCTATTGACCCATACGAGGCAGCAGCTCCTATTGACCCATACGAGGCAGCTCCTATTGAATACGAGGCAGCTCCTACTGACCCATACGAGGCAGCTCCTACTGAGCCATACGAGGCAGCTCCTATTGACCCATACGAGGCAGCTCCTATGAGCCATACGAGGCAGCTCCTATTGACCCATACGAGGCAGCTCCTATTGACCCATACGAGGCAGCTCCTATTGACCCATACGAGCAGCTCCTATTAATAACCAGCCAAACTCATTGATATATATATGTCTAACCTACGTTTGAAACAATCCAGCGCTCCTACATCTATTATGTTACCTGGTAATTAGTTTCATAAATCATCAAGTCTTATTTTCACGCCAGTAACTGCTAAGGTCTTGTCAGAATTACAATTTACCCAGTTTGTATCTAAAGCCTAATCCACAAACATGTTGTGGATTAGGTTGAATGTAAAGCCTAATCAACAACATGTTCTCACCTCAAGATGGTGAGAGTTACAAGGTCCTCTAACTCGGTGAGTCATTAACATCTTCCTAACCTCACAGGCAAGAACACAAAGCTTGAAGCTAAGACAAAACCAAGATGTTGATGACAATGATACAAGTGCTATCCCTATTGAGGTCTACTGAAGGATAGGAGGAGCGGATCAATAACTGTAAAAGGGGGGTCAGTCAAGAGACGTGAGGTAAACACTAATGGAGAATTATTAACTTGACCAGACCACACACTAGAAGGTAAAGGGACGACGACGTTTCGTCCTGGACAATTCTCAAGTCGACTTGAGAATGGTCCACGACGGACGGAAACGTCGTCGTCCCTTTACCTTCTAGTGTGTGGTCTAGTCATCTTACTTTAGCCACGTTGTTGTGTCTCATCGCCTGCATGAGAATTATTAAGTCTGTGCAAAAACACAAGAAATAGAGAGAGAGAGAGAGACTTGAAATAAATTTACTATTGCTACAGCAACATTAGCATCTCCTGTGTCTGAAACAAGAGAAAGAAATTTAACTTGAAACACAAAAGAGATACAGTTCTACAAAGACTGTAATTTGACTATAAATATGGAATGTTTCTTCCCACCATCTCATTTACCAAACAGCCGAAGACAGCTTGGAGCATTAAAAAAGATATACAGCAGAACCAAAACAGCCGAAGGCAGCTAGGAACACGAAGGAGATACAGCAACGTTAGACTGTAATATGACAATCAACAAACGCATATTTCCCTCCACAGATTCAGGAGGTAAACAGCCTAGCGTCAGCTGAGGCCCACCAAGTGGAATGCCAGCTCTTGCAAGTGATGTTTCACGCCTTGCTGCCACGACATCTCAATCTCTGGTAGTTACTGTGTATAACTACCTCCCACTATCTAGTCTCGAACCACCTGAGAGGTTCAATTACCTCTACTCGTTAGCTCCATACCTGAGAGCTAAAGTCACTTGTCTCCGGACTTTGCTTTAAGTAACACTTAATGCTTTTAAGTGATATAACTGTATACTTGCTTAGTTTAGCAGGCATGATTGATTGTCACTTTGAATTGTTGCTTAGACAGGTAAACTGTCATTGTATATTTCCCTTGAAAAGAACAAATGTAAACAATTCGAAGGCAGTTTTTGCATATTGGGAATCAAGAAACGAGAATAGACTAAAATATTTAATTTAATAATAATCGTGACAATGGATTTGATAACAGATATGGTAAAAGACTTCATAATAGATATCATGATAGCCTAGGATACAACGAGATATCTTCACGTTTTATTGAGTGCTATTAGATATTAAAATGCAAAAAATGTTGAGAAGCAAATCCATATCAGTGACTTTTGTATGACAAATCTTGTCATACGAAACTTTTAACACAAGAGATTTTGCAGACGATGAGTCACAATAACGTGGCTGAAATATGTTGACCAGACCACACACTAGAAAGTGAAGGGACGACGACGTTTCGGTCCGTCCTGGACCATTCTCAAGTCGATTGTGAGAATGGTCCAGGACGGACCGAACTGACCAACCACCAAGTTTGGTGTTGGACTTAAGACCTATCAACCTCTGGAGGGTTATTAAGACCACCACAATACCTTACTAAGTTTGGTGTTGGACTTAAGACCTATCAACCTCTGGAGGGTTATTAAGACCACCACAATACCTTACTGACCAACCACCAAGTTTGGTGTTGGACTTAAGACCTATAAACCTCTGGAGGGTTATTAAGACCACCACAATACCTTACTGACCAACCACCAAGTTTGGTGTTGGACTTAAGACCTATCAACCTCTGGAGGGCTATTAAGACCACCACAATACCTTACTGACCAACCACCAAGTATACTTTAATCCTGAACATAGTCTAGTATCAAAATATACTCAAGAGTATATTCACCGAGAGGTGTGTTGGTGTGCCTCTCACACCAACACATATTTAATTTATACACACACCAACATATATAAATGCCCCCAGCCCTTGAAACGGACGTAGCCTCATCTTTAACATCTGACAAAATAAAATAAAACTGAATCCCACAAATTACCATAGACGAAGGTGGATGCCATTAGGTTGAAACAGAAGAAATTCAAGAAATCTTGGAAAGGTAATATCAGTTTAGACATCCAACTCATACTTAGGAAAATAATGGATGTGAATTTCAGTGTTAAATTCTCAGCCTCTTTATCGTGACTACAATTCCAATTAGTATTTGTGAGAGATAAATTGATTTAAAAACATTTTAAATGAACAATTAGTTTTCATAATGAACGTATTAAACACAAGCTCTTAATTCCGGGTTTTACCGTAGCGTTCTCTGAATGTTCAAAATACTCCTATGATGCTCCAGGCTGAAATTCAAAAGATGCTACAAACAAAATCTAATCTTAAAACTATATTTAACATCTCAAAATGGGTTTCTAGCATCAGTTAAAACGCTCTATCTCTCTTGAAGTTAAAAATATCTGGAAAAAGCCTCACAATCTACTTGAATACTTTTTTTGACTAGAGCGAACGAGAGATTATTTGCCTCTTGCTTTAGGCATACTTATGCTAAATATTTGATGCTTTGGTAAAATAAAAAACGCTTCTGTGAAAATAGATAATCATAGAGACATAATTTTGGCCTTCCATTACTCCCAAAACAAATTAACACGTGTCAATTTTATGGTATAGCAATGAGTTTATTTTCTGCAAAATCTGCATTAATGATCAGGTGTAAGAGCGCGGGAAAGCCTTACTAACAAGCAGACTTTCAGACTGTGGAAAATATTCCACTTTTGCGTAAATTAATAATGAATTTAGTTATTATTAAGGCAATGGCCTACGTGAGTAAGATGATGACACCTTTCTGGCAACACTACTCCAGATGGCGGAGTATGATAATTATCTGTTTGAGCTTCGCTATTAATTACTAATAACTCAATATTATACTCTAAACTATAACTATCTACCACCAGAAAAATTATCTGGTTTATTTTAAATTAAAAGAGGAAATAACTTACGTTAGACAGTGAGTTATACCCTGTTCCCTCGTATATATAAAAGGTAACAGCCAAGCATAGGCTTTACTTAAATTCCATTAATTTAAAAGTTACACGCTTCCTAGAGCTCAATACTTCGTGACTAGAATATCTAAATATGTAGAATTACATGAGATAATAAATTATTAGTGTGTTGGAGCATTTGCTTAAGTGTAATGTGCGTAATAATTAGAATTTATATATCAGGAATTGGCAAGGCCGCTACCCCCTTGATTTTACCCAGAGGAATAGACTGTCAGTGTCGTGTGAGACATTATGGAGGACGGGTCTACGGCTCCCTGTCTACCGTCTCTACTACGACCTACTGCCATGGTGTTCTATTGTACATGTTCTCTCTGTTAGAGCGACGGTCTAGTTTCATGCTGGTCGGCGTTCAATCCCCGACTGTTCCTAAGTGGTTGGGCACCATTCCTTTCCCACCGTCCCATCCCAAGTCCTTATCCTGACCCCTTCCCAGCGTTATATAGTCGTAGTGGCTTGGTCCATTCTCCTGATAGTTCACTTCCCTTCTCTCTCCCAGCTGAACTGACTGTCCACCTGTTTTTGGACCAGCTGTTGGAGGCCTGGCCTGGGCGACCAGCTGTTGGAGGCCTGGCCTGGGGCGACCAGCTGTTGGAGGCCTGGCCTGGGCGACCAGCTGTTGGAGGCCTGGCCTGGGGCGACCAGCTGTTGGAGGCCTGGCCTGGGCGACCAGCTGTTGGAGGCCTGGCCTGGGGCGACCAGCTGTTGGAAGCCTGGCCTGGGGGACCAGCTGTTGGAGGCCTGGCCTGGGGGACCAGCTGTTGGAGGCCTGACCTGGGGCGACCAGCTGTTGGAGGCCTGGCCTGGGGGACCAGCTGTTGGAGGCCTGGCCTGGGCGACCAGCTGTTGGAGGCCTGACCTGGGGGACCAGCTGTTGGAGGCCTGGCCTGGGGGACCAGCTGTTGGAGGCCTGGCCTGGGGGACCAGCTGTTGGAGGCCTGGCCTGGGGGACCAGCTGTTGGAGGCCTGGCTTGGGGGACCAGCTGTTGGAGGCCTGGCCTGGGGGACCAGCTGTTGGAGGCCTGACCTGGGGCGACCAGCTGTTGGAGGCCTGGGGGACCAGCTGTTGGAGGCCTGGCCTGGGGGACCAGCTGTTGGAGGCCTGGCCTGGGGGACCAGCTGTTGGAGGCCTGGCCTGGGGGACCAGCTGTTGGAGGCCTGGCCTGGGGGACCAGCTGTTGGAGGCCTGGCCTGGGGGACCAGCTGTTGGAGGCCTGACCTGGGGCGACCAGCTGTTGGAGGCCTGGCCTGGGGGACCAGCTGTTGGAGGCCTGGGGGACCAGCTGTTGGAGGCCTGGCCTGGGGGACCAGCTGTTGGAGGCCTGACCTGGGGGACCAGCTTTTGGAGGCCTGACCTGGGGGACCAGCTGTTGGAGGCCTGGCCTGGGGGACCAGCTGTTGGAGGCCTGGCCTGGGCGACCAGCTGTTGGAGGCCTAGCCTGGGGCGACCAGCTGTTGGAGGCCTGACCTGGGGGACCAGCTGTTGGAGGCCTGGCCTGGGGGACCAGCTGTTGGAGGCCTGACCTGGGGGACCAGCTGTTGGAGGCCTGGCCTGGGGGACCAGCTGTTGGAGGCCTGGCCTGGGCGACCAGCTGTTGGAGGCCTGGCCTGGGGCGACCAGCTGTTGGAGGCCTGGCCTGGGGCGACCAGCTGTTGGAGGCCTGGCCTGGGGGACCAGCTTTTGGAGGCCTGGCCTGGGCGACCAGCTGTTGGAGGCCTGGCCTGGGGCGACCAGCTGTTGGAGGCCTGGCCTGGGGGACCAGCTGTTGGAGGCCTGGGGGACCAGCTGTTGGAGGCCTGGCCTGGGGGACCAGCTGTTGGAGGCCTGACCTGGGGCGACCAGCTGTTGGAGGCCTGGCCTGGGGGACCAGCTATTGGAGGCCTGGCTTGGGGGACCAGCTGTTGGAGGCCTGGCCTGGGGGACCAGCTGTTGGAGGCCTGACCTGGGGCGACCAGCTGTTGGAGGCCTGGCCTGGGGCGACCAGCTGTTGGAGGCCTGGCCTGGGGGACCAGCTGTTGGAGGCCTGGCCTGGGGGACCAGCTGTTGGAGGCCTGGCCTGGGGGACCAGCTGTTGGAGGCCTGGCCTGGGGGACCAGCTGTTGGAGGCCTGGCCTGAGCGACCAGCTGTTGGAGGCCTGGCCTGGGGGACCAGCTGTTGGAGGCCTGACCTGGGCGACCAGCTGTTGGAGGCCTGGCCTGGGGCGACCAGCTGTTGGAGGCCTGACCTGGGGGACCAGCTGTTGGAGGCCTGGCCTGGGGCGACCAGCTGTTGGAGGCCTGGCCTGGGGGACCAGCTGTTGGAGGCCTGGCCTGGGGGACCAGCTGTTGGAGGCCTGGCCTGGGGGACCAGCTGTTGGAGGCCTGACCTGTGGGACCAGCTGTTGGAGGCCTGGCCTGGGGGACCAGCTGTTGGAGGCCTGGCCTGGGCGACCAGCTGTTGGAGGCCTGGCCTGGGGCGACCAGCTGTTGGAGGCCTGACCTGGGGGACCAGCTGTTGGAGGCCTGGCCTGGGGGACCAGCTGTTGGAGGCCTGACCTGGGGGACCAGCTGTTGGAGGCCTGGCCTGGGGGACCAGCTGTTGGAGGCCTGGCCTGGGCGACCAGCTGTTGGAGGCCTGGCCTGGGGCGACCAGCTGTTGGAGGCCTGGCCTGGGGCGACCAGCTGTTGGAGGCCTGGCCTGGGGGACCAGCTGTTGGAGGCCTGGCCTGGGCGACCAGCTGTTGGAGGCCTGGCCTGGGGCGACCAGCTGTTGGAGGCCTGGCCTGGGGGACCAGCTGTTGGAGGCCTGGGGGACCAGCTGTTGGAGGCCTGGCCTGGGGGACCAGCTGTTGGAGGCCTGGCCTGGGGCGACCAGCTGTTGGAGGCCTGGCCTGGGGCACTGGAATGTGTCCACGTTGGGTGTTGGAGGCCTGGCCTGGGGCACTGGAATGTGTCCATGTTGGGTGTTGGAGGCCTGGCCCGGGGCACTGGAATGTGTCCATGTTGGGTGTTGGAGGCCTGGCCTGGGGCACTGGAATGTGTCCATGTTGGGTGTTGGAGGCCTGGCCTGGGGCACTGGAATGTGTCCATGTTGGGTGTTGGAGGCCTGGCCTGGGGCACTGGAATGTGTCCATGTTGGGTGTTGGAGGCCTGGCCTGGGGCACTGGAATGTGTCCATGTTGGGTGTTGGAGGCCTGGCCTGGGGCACTGGAATGTGTCCATGTTGGGTGTTGGAGGTCGGACTTGTATTACCTTGTTCAAGAGTGCCGGCCACTCTTTAAGGCACTTCGCCAACAGCTTAAGTATATGTGGTTTACGTAATCTTAGTTTGGACCTCTTGTACCCGTGTATAAACCCGTAACTTTACATACGAATTGGTTAACAAGCAGGAGAATAGTCCACATATGTGAAAAGCCATTGTACTAATTTTCATTTTTTGTTGTAATGATATAGGCAAATGTGATTAATTTCATCACTATTAATTGCAATAACCCCTTGGAATGCTCAGATTAAAATCTGTGCATTTAACATTATATTTTATAGTATATTTATGTGAGAGCTTCTTGCAGATAAGGCGTCGCAGGCAGCTTCTGGAATCAGTTTCCAGCTGACGTGTAGATTAGGACGTCACTTGAGGATACCTTGAGTACCACCAGCCGCTTGTCCCTCTGGAACAAGACGACTCTACCCAATACACAAGTTTCCCCTGAATGTGGCGGGACTAAACTTACAGGAAAGTCTCATTCTGTCGAGGCTTTAGTAGGTAGTGAGATTAGGTAATGGTAAGTTTTCCAAACTCGCAGACAAGCAGACTGTTCTCATTAACAGGCAGACTTTCACTCAGAGAAGCAGCCTCAACTCACAGATAAGCAGAATTTCGTCGACTAGACGACGTTCACACAAGTAGGCTTTCAGACTCATTCACTACAGCATTTCTTTTGTTGTACAAAAATCGCTCATCTGGAGTTATACCTCAGAACGAGTGTAAGGTTTCAACCCCTCAACCTCTTAACCCTGTACTTTCACTACGTTAACTCAGCCCCCCAACACCACCTTCGACCCCTATCAGACTCTACCCCTAGACTTGAGTAGGAGCGCAAGATACCGAGCATTACTCTCACTTCACTTAATTCTCGACCTTCTCCCGCTAGTGATAACCTAAGTCGGGAGAGTCTACACAAAGTGACCTGTGTCTTAAGTCATAAATCAGCCGGGAATGGGGGGAGAAAATAGTCAAGCGTCTGCTTCTAGTTGTGCACAAAAAAGCACAATAACGTGATAGATCAACGAGAACACGAGTAGAAGCCATGAGGAATAGATCCTACACACTGGGTTCTCCCAAGTATATGCCCTAACCAACTCGGCCACGACATGCTAAAAGCTATGCAACCTGGGAATCGGTTGAATCATCTTAAGGGTCTTGTGACTTACGGGACTTAAGGTTCTTAAGACTTAAGGGAGCCGGTCGGACAGCACGCTGGACTTGTGGTCCTGAGTTCGATCCCGGGCGCCGGCGAGAAACAGAGCAGAGTTTCTTTCACCCTATGCCCCTGTTACCTAGCAGTAAAATAGGTACCTGGGTGTTAGTCAGCTGTCACGGGCTGCTTCCTGGGGGTGGAGGCCTGGTCGAGGACCGGGCCGCGGGGACACTAAAGCCCCGAAATCATCCCAAGATAACCTCTCGTAGGAGATTCAATTGAATCTCGGGTTGCATAGTTTTTAGCATGTCGTGGCAGAGTTGGTTAGGGCGTATACTTGGGAGTACCCAGTGGCTTCTACTAATTTTTCCCGGTTATGTTAGTGGTGTAATAACTGTTAAGTGGTCTAAATAGTAGGCTTGAGAAACTTCAGTTTCCCCTAGTGTTCAATCCGTCTATACAACCTTAATATGTTGCCACAGATGCATCACTGCAGACGATGGGGTCACAATAACGTCGTTTAAGATATGACCAAACCACACACCATATGAAACCGTTTAGGTCCGTCCTGGACCATTCTCACAATCGACTGGATCATTGTCCAGGACGGACCGAAACGTCGTCGTCCCATCATCTTCTGGTGTGTGGTCTGGTCATCATGGATCACTACATTGTGAATTCACTGTATTAAATATAGACTGCTTTACGCTGTTAAATACCTATTCATTACCGGCAGAATTGTAAAGATTTGTTCAAGTATTCATTATTAAAGATTGATTCTGAAAGCCACAGCCTCGTTCATATTAAAAATATATAATTTTATTTTATATAGTTAAATCGTGAATAGAAATGTCATTTCATGCCAGTTTAATGACCGAAGCGTTGTGCTAATATTAATACAGTGCTTTTATGTAATATTCATTTCTTACGGATTCTATACCATTTCATATATCAAACGTATGACTAAAAATAATTGTAACACAAATCAATTCGGAATTTTGGTCTACTTTATCAGTCGGCAATATGAAAGAAAATTTGATAAATGTTGTGGGATATTTGGGGCCTGACTCAATTTATTTAATTATTAAATTAATGAAATCAATTACGAAGGACCACCCACTTTTAAGAAAAGAGGGAAACTAATAAAAAGTGATCATTAGAAACACAAGGAAGAACCAATGTCTATGGATAAATATTATGAAGCATAATCCCTTAAATAATTAATGGGCTGTATAGTTAATTAAATTAAATCAAAGCCTCAAACACCTACATTGGGGGCTATTGCTAGAACGTCATATACATCTAGGAACTAGTGTGGTTCGTGCACCAGTTCATTGTGTAATAACTAATCTTATGACCAAATTATTAAAGAATCAAAAGACGATTATCACCAGAAATTATAAAGATTATTAGCATTGGAAAATAATCATCAAAATAAACACATATTGTCTCCAGTATACACGACGAGCATCCTATTAAGTAGAATCGTGACTAAATAACAAGATTTGGAGTAATTAAATGGGTACAAAAAAGTCTTAGCTTTAAGACGATTTCTAAGACATCATTCACGCCTCGTCCTTGTGATCTCCGGAATTCCTCGTAGAAGCACTTAGAGGTGAATAACACGAAGTTAGGTAACAGCTCGTTGACTCCTCACATACGAGCTGTAATTTAAGGGATATTACGTAGCATTGAACTAGGCTACTTGAATCACAATATCGATGAAATATAAATTAAAATTTAGTGCGGTACTAACGTTGGATTTGTTGTAGTCGTACGATATAACGACAAGCTGCCCACGACATATGCAATCTCTAATGATGCATCAAAGAAGAACTATATACTTATCAGAGGGTGCAAATTATGCTGTAGCTTGCCGATATCGCGTCCCAGGCTCAAACTTCCACAATGTCGTACACGTGATTGATAGCTTGGCCTGAATATCGACGCGTTATTAGTTGACCGAGCACTGCAGATCACGTAGAACAATAATAATCCGTTCAGGGTTGAGTACCAGGGTAATTCTTGCTGACAATCCCAACGTCACGTGTCTCAGACTCTGACGCCACGACCTTTGTTGCTCAATTCCGCAACACGAGACTACCACGGCACACACAATGGCGTCTCGATACACAATGGCTTCTCCCTCCTCAACCTCGTCCCGTATTAACCACAGAAATTATTTATCACGAATATTATTATTTCGCGCAATCGTGGTTGAAATACTTTAATAAAGACTGGGTTGTAATTCTAGGGATTTAAATGTTATTACTTTCTCGTCTTATGGTGGTAAACAAGAAATGGAGAAGATTTTAGTTTTCTCCATGGCATTCACGCGTGACGGTAAAATTATTACTCGATAACAATTGTAACTAAAAACTCTCTATTTAGAATTATTTGGGAGTTTTGTTATCCATAAATAATAATCACACGGAATATTGATGATTTTAGAGAATCACATTCAATTCTCTAACATACTGGTTACAAATGTGTTTAAATAAGATATAATCTGACGCAATACTGGTGCTTGGTTTCGTAAGAATTCCAGTATCCATATGCAGATATAATAGTTCATGTGAACATTACTGATAGTGAATTTTAGTAACTACAGTAGTTAGTATATTTTAACGAGGCTGGTTAGGGAGGGACACAACCCTCCCTTAAATATCATAAAATCGCTAATGTTTAATAACATTGTCAGCACACAACTGTAGCAAATTTCACCTCTCAACAAGGGGCAAAGGGCCAGCAATATAGAGGGTACAGCAAACAGTAATCACGACCCCACAAACGGTGAACAATAATCTAGAAACATCACAGAAAGACTTTACGCAGAAAATGATGTCCAAGGAACTGTGGGAGACCTCGAACATAAAGCTAACCAAACACACACAGACTCACACACTGATTCACACACACTCACACACAGACTTGGACACAGACAGAGACACAGACTGAGACACAGAAACCCAAGACACAGAGAAGACCACACACACACAAAATCGTCGTCCCTTCGTCAAGTGAGACCCAAGAGATTAACCAAAGATATCGATAAATATAACTCCAGAACAATCATCCCATTACCACAATCGGAGAGGGTTACAAGCACACAATCTCACAACGGTTCAGACACATCCCCCCCAACCAGCCATCAGCTCAGCAACAGGAGGTGAACAGACTGTGTAATGAACACGTCAAGAGCCACCCAACTCCACAAGGGGGGACAACAGTCTTAAGAGTTTCAATCCATTCACTAAAAATAACAATGCACAATGGCTTGACTCCGCACAGAGGAATGGAACTCAGCGACTTATATAGACACAGACTCTGACATAATGCTCATTAACATCAACGGGGCAAAAGGGCAAAATTATGAAGTTATTCAACTACAAAGCTTACCAGGGCAATAGAGTTGGCCAGGCCAGCGTCAGAGCAGCAACTGTAGTTAAGGGAAATTGACCACACAAACTCCTTGATAATTTAAGGGAAAACTTCCTGGCCATTGAACTCCAAACGGCTTAAGACACAAAGTGTATTGGAACGTGTTATAGACAGACGAGGAGTCACAATAACGTGGCAGAAATATGTTGACCAGACCACACACTAGAAGGTGAAGGGACCACGACGTTTCAGTCCGTCCTGGACCATTCTGAAGTCCATTTTGATCGACTTGAGTAATCGACATGAGCACAATCAACTTGAGAATGGTCCAGGACGGACCAAAACGTCGTCGTCCCTTCACTGTCTAGTGTGTGGTTTGGTCAACATGTTATACCAACCACCAAGACGGCCCCTTGCTTCCCT